GATTGATTCGCCAAGCTGACTGGTTTTCATGCAAATGTTTCGTCTCCCTTCTAGGTGACATCGTCAGTGGTGTGTTGCCTCTATCGAAGTGCTGCTTTTCTGTCCCGTTCTGAACTTGTATGGTCCGATCTGTCATGGTGGGCAGTCTTGTTTCCAGTTTTGAACCATGGTGGTATGTCGATGGGGTCTATTTCAACATGTATGTTAATTGCATCAGTGGTTGAAAAACAGGCCTCCTGGAATTCTCGTGCTTGTCTTTGTCTCACTTGTCCTTGTACCGTAACTTTGTCCAGGTCAAATTGATGTCCTTCTATGTCGGAGTGTATTGAAATGAGAGAGAGTTGGTCGTGCGGTTTTGGCTGTGAGTTGGTGTTCGTGTATCTGGTGGTGAGTTTCCTGCCCATTGTCCTATGTAGTGTTTCTTGCAGTTGCTGCCTGGTATTTTGCATATCACATTTGTCCTGCTCATTATGGGTTTGTGGTCTTTGGTCTTTGGGAGTAATTAGCGAATTGTGGCTGTTGGTTTGTGTGCTATCCTTATTCCAAGAGGATATAGGAGTCTTGTAGTCAATTCTGATGTGTTTCTAACATAAGGTAGGGTGGCTGGTGTGTTGGGGCGTACAGTGTCTTCTTGGTGTTGTTTGTTTGCCAGGCATCAGCGGATGAAGCTGTTAGGATAACCATTGCTTGCACAGCTCTGGGGTGTCGCAGTGATTTATTGCTCATTTAAACAGAGTCTTGACGCAATGGACAATCTGAGAGGAGGGAATAGTGTCTTCTCGGAAGTGAAGCGAGAGTCAGTGTAATTGAGGGAGCTGTGGTAACTCAAGAATCCGTTTAAATGAGTGCCAGAGGAAGTGGTAGAAGTGAGTACAATTACAACATTTAAAAGACGTTTGGACGTGACAGGAATGGCTTAGAGGGATCTGGGCCAAACACAGGCAAATGGGACAAGTTCAATTTAGAAAGCCTGGTCTGCATGGATGAGTAGGACCGAAGGGTCTGTTTCTGGGCTGTATGACTCTATGATTCTGTCTGAGCCCAAAAGAAGTTTAAATTTGAGACAACGTATACAGGGCAGTCTCTGGGTTTTGTGAACATTTGACAATGAGTCAAGAGTAACGTTGCAGTACTGGGCAATGCAAGTAGCACAGGTTTGTAGATGAGCTGTTGACTTCAAGATGACTGGCTTTGCAAGTCAGCTGAAATTGTTTTGTTTTGTTTCATTTGGACAATGACTGGTTGCAGCACCCAATACAAGATTTAGTAATTTTATTTTTACCTGTAGTGCAGGGATGTTTGATTGTTGTCCTCAAGCTATGCCTTTCATAGTACACAAGGCCACTAAGTCACACAGAGCAGGACTGCAATTGACTTTTAACCCTTGATCCTGTGTTTACTTGAAGCAGGAAAAGATAAACATGCACAACCAATAGAAATTGCTGGAAGAGCTCAGCAGGTCTGACAGCATCTGTGGAGAGAAATTTCCCTCCACAGATGCTGCCAGACCTCCTGAGATTTTCCAGAAGTTTCTGTTCTTGTTACTGATTTATCGCATCTGCAATTCTTTCAGCATGCCTACAGTTTGGGATGTAATCCACACAAGGCGACTTTTCAATGAGATTGGGAAGGAGGGTTGTGGTGGTGGTGACGTGGGGGACGGGTCATGCAAATCAGCCTCTCATTATTTCTGTAGCCACAGGGGCTCACAGTCCAGTTTGTTTTGAGTTGCTTGTGTTGTTTTGAAAAGTTACCATTTGTATTTCCCTTGGCACATTCAGGGATGATATTCCAGGCTTCCTTTCTAGACAGACATTGGTTTTACATCTGCGGTCACCTTTTGGCTATAGGTCCTCTTTGTTTAAAAATGAAACAAAAGACAATGCACCTGTGACAGCTTTGGGACTCTGATCCCCATCATGACATTAAATATTGGTTGATGGCGTAACACCTGAAATGGTCTGAAGGGAAGGGATAATGAAGAAATGTGAAAGTGAAATTGATTACGTATTTTAATCACTGCCAAAAGCAAGATGCAGCCACAATACAGTTATCAATGTTCTGGAAAAAAAAACAAAGAGATGAAGGAGGCGACCTACATAATTTTGTGAAAAAAAAATTCCACATTTTCCAGAAAAAAGAAGGCAGGCATGGCTAGTTATATATAAGTTTCCATGGCAACTTTTCTCATTTGGAACAATTGAGTGACCCAATTGAACAGCTATAAAGTTCATACATAGTACTGAAGAATTTAGAAACAAGGTGCAGAATTTTCCACTATCCCACACAATATTTCTTGATTCACTTCAGGCTCTTGTCACAGAATTGGTTTCTCAGCTTGTTTGTGAAACTTTGTGAAAACATTTACTTTTAGATAGCGCATTGGATGTACTTTCACCGGATGGACTATTACATTTCAAGAAGGTGGTTCACCATCACCTACTCAAGGGCAATTAGGGCTGCAATGCCGGCCTAGCTAACGACACCCACATCCATGAAAACATGAATTAAAAAAAACAAAAAATAAATACTCTTACAGTGAGTCATTCTGGTGTCTACAATCAATCTTTCTTCTTTAAGCTCAATGCCCAGTGCCCGTTATGTATGTTGCAACTCAGATATAGTGAAGGTCAGATACCATTCCATCAGTAATGACTAAGGAACATTCTTTCAAAACTATCCCCAAAGAATGAATTCAACTACATCATTATCTTCTCTACAAGTGGTCCTCAGGTCACTTTTGAGTGAGACTGCTTATTAGCAAGGATCTGTTCCATGGCTGTCATATCTGGAAGAGGGATTCTTTCAACTTCATCGAGAGTGCCTGAACTCTGAGAGAGACTTTCGTGCCATGAGCAGAGTTTGGATTCAATTCCTTTGCCAATTATGGCCCACCATACTCCTACCATGCCAGAACAATTTTAAACATCCGAGTACATGCAGGAAATGAAATAATTATACGAATCAAGTAAGCCGATATATAAAAACATTTTGTGCACCAGCAACATACAAAGGTATGGGGGTGATAATTAATGTTTTATTGACAAAATGCATAGTTGGATAGCTTGTGCAGTGTGAAGATGCTGGAAGAACACATTCTACAAACTGAGGTAGTTAAAAGTATAATAGAGACTCGAGATTTAGAACTCTTCTGTTTGTCAATCTGATTAACAGACCTGATAAGTTATGTTAACACTCGCCAAGTCTACAATTATATGTTAATCAGCAATCTCTTGTTACTTGATTGTCTGACATTTCTGGTACAATTCCTCATTCGCATCCTTCTTCGGACCCCATACACATCATACAATATTTCACCGCGAGAAGTGCTAAGGCAGGCTTGCATCTTGTCATCAGAACAACTCCATTCCCAATTGGTCTTTTCACTGCCAACCTACCACAAGCTGTGCAGCATGAGGGACAATTCACTTCCTGTTTACAGGACAAGAAGTTTCCAATGAGTAACTCCAGAATTCCTTCACATTTTTGTTCACGTTATCAACGGAATTGGATGAATCGGAGAAATTTTCTTAATAACTATCGATCTTGCATAATAAATGTACCAAAGTAGTTTCTTTACTGGTTTCAAAATCCTTCTATAAACTCCATTGATATCGGACTGACTCTTAAACAGCTTGCAAGGGTGGAAATGATGTTTGTCAAAAACATAAAGCAAACTTGTGCTGAACTGCCAGCCTGTTTTTTTACCCTGTGTCTGATTTTGTTTCCTCATAGTGAACTAGAACTGGGTACTCTCCAAAATGGGCTATCAATTCCTATAAATTTTAAAAATTAAGTGTCTCGAGGGACGCATAAAAATGTATCCGCTGCCCCACTGATTGTACTTTCATTTGAATCAATGGTTTCTAGCAGCTTCATTTCCTTTCCTTTTCTTACGTTGAAAATATCTGAAATGCCATGGTGGAGACGTTGTCATGTCAACTGGATGTTGAGCAGTAGCACAGCAAATTATCACTGTTATGAAGTTTTTAATGGAAAATAGTCAATGAGATAATTTGATTAGATATCTGATTAGTGAGCTTGAAACATGAAACAAAATGTACACACATTGTCTGAAATTAAAACATTCCGATTAAAATCAAACTAATGGTATAAGAAATAGAAATAATTTACATAATACAGGCAGGAACGTCTTATGGAAATACTTCCTGTCTCGCACTGTAAATTCTGTAGAAGAATAGAACATGAGAAAGAAGCATACCAAGCTGCCATTATGGCAGGAAATTTTTAAGAAACCTCAGGAATTAGGGAACAACTTTTTGCCTCTGTGCTCCAAGTAACCCATTGTTACTTCAGCAGAAGTCTGTAAAAATAATGGAAAACGCAGCATGCGTACACATATCCTTGGGATTACAGACTCTCTTCTGCTGAAGATGCAGCAATTAAATTGGTGAACAGCCCATGGAAATTCATTCCTCAGTTCTTTGTTAGAAGTCCTGGTGCTTAGATTCCTGCTTTGAAAGAGCTTTGACATCAATGCTGTGTCTTTGAAAGAGGTCTCAAAGGTGAAAATCCCTCATCAAAATAAGAGCCTCTGATAATGAAACTCTTAGAAAGAAGAAATCTCTGCCAGGCCTAAAACCTTCTTATAAATCCATGTTCCTATAGCTGCAAAAGACCTAAACTCTGGAATTACGTCTGTACCTCCTTGATCTACTTAATGTTGTAACTTGCACCAAAAAGCCTACCTCTGACCAACATTTAATTGTCTGGCCTGACATTGTCTTATAGGGCTCGGTATTGAATTCTGAATGATAATGTTCCTGTGAAGAGGCACTGAACATTTTAGTGCATTAAAAATGGAATATAAAAGTACACTAGTGATCTGTGGACTTTCTCTTCAGCACCAGTAGATTCAATAAACTTTTCAAAAATGTTTTTTCTCTATCACGTTGCAACTTGAAAGCTGGGTGCATTTTTTTTAATATACCGAGTCACCACACAGCTTCTATAAAATGGTTTATATCATTTCATTGCAGCTTGAAAATTATATTCAGGACAGCGTGAAGACTGAGATAGTGGAGATCCAGCGAAATGCGGTGCAGAACCAAACTGCAGCCATGTTGGAAATAGGAACTAATCTCCTGACTCAAACTGCAGAACAAACTCGCAAGCTCACCGATGTGGAAACACAGGTAATCCATTCACTTATCCAAGTAGCATTAATGACATATAGTCACCTTCTCTCAATAATCTGTTTTTCAAAGCTAATTGCCTGGCAAATGTTAATGTACTTTCTTGTAAAAGATTTAGATGAATTTGGAGTAAGTACAAAGGGTGCCACAATTATTTCCTAATTTGAATTGGAACAGGTTGAATTTATCCCAGTTTGGATTTTGCTGCTGTTCTTGTATTGAATATGCAGCAGTTTTGAACATAGATATTTTTATTTGAATCCTTCCAAACAAAGCCTCCATTGCAAAATGCCCCAGATTCAGATTATAAAATAAAAAAGTTTTGCATTGCAAATCTCTTTATAGCATTTTCCTTCCTGCAATTACCCCTGCTGTAACACATGCCGACTACTGTTTATTTTGAGTGAAAGACTGTTCATTTTCTATTGCTTCCAGATCCAACAATTTCTTTTATATGGAACACACACCTAGTAAACATTTACTTTCTGTTTAACACCATTTATTTGCTGAGTACTGCACTTCCGATTGTCATTTGTTTTTCAGGAATCTCCCATTTAATTTCTACGCTGTGTACTCGCAGCTCGGTTTCTTACTGCTTTTCATTTTACACACATATTAATGAATCTTTGGGTTAGACAATCTGAAACCTCCACAGAATATGCCTTTGTAAATAACCATAGTCTGAAGTATGTTATTACTTATAGAGGCCCAGTGCATGGCATTGCCAAAGAAAAATGGGTCACAATCACATTTGTTTGTACTCAAGGAATTCCATATAATTTTTATTCACGTCAGATAGAATGATATTGAAAGATGTTGGTTCAATTAATATTGGGAAACAAGAGAAATGTTTCAAGATGCTTTTATGGACAAAGTGTAAGTCTTATGTAAAACTAAACACAATTATCTGAGAGAATCTGGTTGAAAGACAGGATCCCATTGAGAGTGCGGAACAGACTGGGCAAGGTGAGGAGCATTAGGATGGAATAACGCTACCAGGAGCAGGTTGAGAAATTCAAAGATCTTTGGGGGCACAGGAGAGGGCATTCTGCCTGCATTTATCCCTCAGTAAATACCACTGAAGCAAATAATGTCAGCATTTGTCTTTTTTTCTGCTTATGGGGTCTAACTATTGCTGTATATTTGCCTACAAGGTAGCTTTAACTAAATTTAAAAGGCAATACATTGGCTGAAGTAAATTCAGGTCTGAAATGCACAATCTAACTGCAAATTCTTCCTTCTTCAAATCACAGTAAAACTTTCCTACACAAAATTATGTGGAGAAAAGTATATTTGGACCACAGTAGCAATTGGGAGTTCTGATAACAGACATGATAGTGTTACCCATTGTGAAGAATGGCAGCAGTTATTGGTCTTGATAGTATAGTCCATAGTATCCCTAGAGTGTGGGAACAGGCTATTTGGCCCAACAAGTCCACACGGACCCTCTGAAGAGTATCCCACCCAGACTCACTCCCCGATGCTACCGTATCCCTGTAACCCTGCATTTCCCATGGCTAATTCACCTAACCTACACATTCCTGAACAGTATGGGCAATTTAACATGGCCAATCCACCTAACCTGCACATCTTTGGAATGTGGGAGGAAATGAGAACACCCGGAGGAAATCCATGCAAACACGGGGAGAGCATGCAAACTCCACACAGTCGCCCGAGGGTGGATTTGAACCTGGATCCCTGGTGCTATGAAGCAGCAGTACTAGCCACTGAGCCACCGCGCTGCCCCATGCAATACATCACAAAATATCGATTGCCTTCCTGATCCATTGGTATATTGTATAGTAATTTTTTTGTGATTCATACACGAGGACACCCACATCCTCTGTACTTCTGATAACTGCAATTTCCACCCATTTAAATAATGGCCTAGATTCTTCAAACAGGATGGGTCTTTTGGGATCAAAGTGCAATATTTTGGTACTGAAACCGGAGAATCCAAGAAATATAGTCCCACAGATCAAATTATTATTTTGATAGTGTCACTGAAATCATTCTGATTGACAATTCAGGCTTCCAAATCAGTGAAGAACACCTTCAGAGCAGTTAGGAAAGTTGCATATGCTATTGGGAGTGTAGGCAGTTAGGTGGTTTGTGAAGGGATATAATCCCCAACTGTGATGGTGGGGAGGGTTCAATTTATGAGTCAGCGATTTGTATTCAATTGTAGGGAAAGTCTTAACAACCAGGAGGAAACATTCATTCTCCGGATAACCCAAAATAATGCACTTACCTTCTCAATGAAACAGCTCTCGCCTCATGTGAGTTGCCAAGCCTGTGGTAAGGATAGGTCAGTGAAAAAAGTTCCAGAAGATGCTCTGAGTGTCCAGCAAGGTCATGGGCTCAGTCTTCCAGACAAAAAAGAAACAGAATGTAGAGGCTGTTTCAATATTATAGTAAATAAATCCATCAGCTAAGGTTAAGACTGTGGTTTTGGAATGCTACACATCACAGAGCAAGTTTGAGTTGCTGTGACAAGTAGTACATTTCTGTACACATTGTATTCCGGAGCAATAGAAGTTGAAGCAGAGGTTCCAATGTTTTTTTCTATCACTTGGCTGACCATCTCTGCTGTCCTTACTGCCTGTCATTGGATTGTGCAAGAAGGATTTTCAGGTTGATACTTAATCTGCTTGGCTACATTTCCTTTGGCCATCGAGGGTGAGGTGGGTCTCTAACCTGGAGCTACTGATGCAGGGATGTTACCCACAGCACCATAGGCTCCCACCCCGAACCTTTGTCAAATCTATAACTGAAGTTGAATGGGATTCTCTTTGCCACATTGTAATGGTGCATTAGAATTCCCAATCCATTTCATGGGGTTGCTTTGGCTGCATCTTCTCTGTCTTCATGTGTTCCATTTCCATTAAGCCCAGAAATGATTGAGTTGAGGCTGGGTTGGAGATTTTTACATTTTTTTTGCACTTGATCTAATCCCAACCTAACTCCTTGGGGAACCAACGGTAACTGAATTTTGTTTTTAATCACCGTCTCACAATGTATGACAAACTCCAGACATAAAATGTAAGCCCATGACAGCAAGAAACATTGGCTAAATTATTCCAATGCCTAGAATAGCAAAATCTGGATTTAGGTTGCTGTCGGCTGTTGAGATCCTGGAGAAATTCTGGTACACACACATGCATTGAAATTACCCAGGAAATTTAAACTTCTCGATAAAAACCGAAAGAACTGCGGATGCTGTAAATCAGGAACAAAAATAGAAGTTGCTGGAAAAGCTCAGAAGGTCTGGCAGCATCTGTGAAGAAAAAAAGCAGAGTTAATGTTTTGGGTCTGGTGGCCATTCCCCAGAACAGTAATGAGTTCCTCAGTTCTGAGGACAGGGATTCGAATCTTACTATAGAATATGGTGGAATTTGAATCCAATAAAAATCTGGAACTAAAACTCTAATGATAACCATGAAATCATTGTCATCATTAGACAATGATTTTTGGGGAAAAACCCCTCTGGGTCACTAATGTCCTTTAAGGAAACGGCCATCCTTATCTGGTTTGGGCTACATGTGACTCCAGACCCACTGCAGTCTGGTTGACTCTCAACTACCAAATGGGCAATTAGAGATGGGCAATAAATGCTGGAATAGCCAGCGACACCGTCATCCTGTAAATGAACATTCCCATCACACTCCCATTTTCTAATCACTCTGCTCTCAACCTGATCAGACCCAACTATTCTCCTCCATCCCAACTGATCAGACCTGGCCATCTTTCAATATGACTTGACCCCCTATTGATCTAGATATACCACTCAAACCCACAGCTGACTCAGTCAATCCACTTACTCACTCTCGCACTCACTCAGACGTTCTGTCAGTGATATTCTTGTACATTCTCACACTTTCTCACTCTTACTCAAACTAAATCATTTGTATACTCATTCAATCATTCATTGAGTCACTCACTCACTCACTCACTCACTCACCCTAAGTGTTTACTATGTCAGCTGTAATTTGCCCACAGTCTTCTTGCCAGTTACAAAATTACGGCATAAGCAAGTGCTGAAGTGTAAAACACTGACCAATACATAACTAGAACTCTGGTAAAAATCTAAAACATTTCAAATGTAGAAATTCAACAGTAAAATCCTTGCAGGGAGGTTTGCCAGTGCTACTTGGGAGGGTTTAAAGTACAGTGGCAGGGGGCTGGGAACCAGAGCAACAAATCAGCAAGTGGAGGGATTGAGGGAAAGACAAACGTTAGGACTAGTAAGTCAGAAAGGAAGGACAGGCAGAGACTGGTAAATGAACACAATGATACGAGTGGGCTGATGTGTTTATTTCAACACAAGGAGTATTATAGTGAAGGCAGATGAGCTTAGAGCCTGCATCAGTACATGGAGCTATGGCCATTACAGAGACTTTGTTGAGAGAAGGACAGGACTGGCTGATCAACTTTCCCCAGTTTTGTCGTTTTAGACGCGAGAGAGAGGAAGGTGAAAGAAGTGGAGGAGTTGCACTATTAATCAGGGAGAATGTCACATCTGCACTCAGAGAGTCATTGAGTCATAGAGATGTACAGCACGGAAACAAACCCTTCGGTCCAACTCGTCCACGCTGATCAAATATCCTGAATAAATCAAGTCCCATTTGTCAGCATTTGGCCCATATCCCTCTAAACCCTTCCTACTCAAATACCCATCAGATGCCTTTTAAATGTTGTATTTGTACCAGCCTCCACACTTCCTCTGGCAACTCATTCCATACACACACCATTCTCTGTGTGAGAAAGTTATGCCTCAGATCTTTTTTAAATCGTTCCCCTCTCACCTTAAACCTATGCCCTCAAGTTTTGGATCCCCTACCCTGGGAAAAAGACCTTGTCCATTTACCCTATCCATGCCCCTCATGATTTTATAAACCTCTATAAGGTCACCCTTCAGCCTCCAACACTCCAGGGAAAATAGCCCCCTATTCAGCCTCTCCCTATAGCTCAAGCCCTCCAACCCGGGCAACATCCTTATAAATCTTTTCTGAACCCTTTCAAGTTTCACAACATCATTCCTGTAGCAGCGAGAATAGAATTGCATGCAGTATTTCAATCGTGGCCTAACCAATGTCTTGTACAGCTGTGACATAATCTCCCAACTCCTATACTCAATGCACTGACCAATAAAGGCAAGCATAACAAACGTCTTCCTTACGATCCTATTTACCTCCAACTCCACTTTCAAGGAACTACAAACACGCACTCCAAGATCTCTTTGTTCAGCAATACTTCCTATTACCTTACCATTAAGTGTATAATTAAGTGATTAGCCTTTCCAAAATGCAGCTTCTCACATTTGTCTAAAGTAAACTCCATCTGATACTCCTCGGTCCATTGGTCCATTTGATCAATGTCCTGTTGAACTTTGAGATAATTTTCTTTGTTGCCACTACAACTCCAATTTTGGTGTCATGTGCAAACTTACTAACCATACCTCCTATGCTCACATCCAAATCATTTATATAAATGACAAAAAGCAATGGATTCAGCACCTTGTGGCACACTGCTGGTCAAAGGCCTTCAGTCTGCAAAGCAACTGTCCACCACCACCCTCTGTCTTCTAACTTCAGGCCGATTCTTTATCCAAATTGTTAGATCCCCCTCTATTCCATGTGATCGAGCCTTACTCACCAGTCTACCATGAAGAACCTCAGAGAGGACATACTGGAGGGCTCATCCACTGAGCAACACGGATACAGCTGAAAAATAGTATAGGTGCCATCACCCAGAAAAGATTATACGATAGCCCCCTGAACAGCCACTGAGACATTGAGGAACAAATATGTAGGCAGATTTGGAAAGATGCAATAACAACATGGTTTTCATCGTGGGTGACTTCAAGTTCCCCAATATTGACTGAGACTCCCTTAGAGCAAAAGGCTTAGCCAGGGCAAAATTTGTTGAGTGCATCCAAGAAAGTTTCTTGAATCCATATGTGGATAGTCCAACTACAGGAGGGGTCATACTGGACATTGTATTGGCTAATGAGCCTACGCAGGTGACTGACATTTTAGTGGGAGAGCATTTTGGATCACAACTCCTTACATTTTAAGATAGCTATGAATAAGGATAAGTCAGGACCTTGTGAGAAGGTACTAAAGTGGGGGACGGCAAATTATGTCAGTATAAGACAGGAACTAGGGAATATTAATTGGGACGAGCTGTTATTGGCAAATCCACATTTGACATGAGGGAATTGTTTAAAGACCTACTGATCAGAGTTCAGGACTGGGTATGTTCCAGTAAGAAGAAAGGACAAGGATGACAAGGTGAGGGACTCTTGGATAATGAAGGAGGTTGTGAATTTAGACAAAAGGAGAAAAGAAGCATACATTAGGTTTACGAAACTAAACTCGGACATAGGCCATGAGGAATATAAAGAAAGCAGGGAAGAACTCAAGCAGGGAATTAGGAGAACAAGAATGGACCATGAAATGGCGTTGGCAAACAGGCTTAATGAGAATTCCAAGGCATTCTATGCATACAGTAAAAACAAGAGGATAACTGGGAAGAAGGTAGCATCACTCAAGGATAAAGAAGGGAACTTGTGCTTGGAGGCAGAGGATGTGGGTGAGATCCTAAATGAGTATTTTGCATCAGTATTCACCCAGGAGAAGGATATGGAGGATAGTGAGATCTGTGTGAAGCATGCTAATATGCTAGGACATTTTGAGATCAAGAAAGAAGTGATGTTGGGTCTCTTGAGGAGCATGAAGGCAGGTAAGTCCCCAGGCCCCGATAGTATCTACCCCAGGTTGTTGAGAGAAGCAAGAGAGGAGATTGCTAGAGCATTGAACAAGATCTTTGTACCTGTGCTAGCCACTGGAGAGGTCCCAGTGGACTGGTAAGTATCTAATGTTGTTCTTTGCTCATGAAGGGAAATAAGGATAATCTAGGAAAATATAGACAGTGAGTCTCACATCAGTGGTTGGGAAGATATTTGAGAGAATTCTTAGAGTAGGATTTATGTGCACTTGGAAAAGCATGGCCTAATTAGGAACAGTCAGTGGCTCTATGCAGGGCAGGTCATGTCTTCCTAAATTGATTGAATTTTTCAAAGAATTGATGAAGGTGATCAATGAGGGTAGAGCAGTGGATATTGTCTATATGGATTTTAGTAAGGCTTTCAACAAGGTCCCTCATAGTTGTCCCTTCCAGAAGATTAAGATGCATGGGATCCCCAGTGACTTGGCTTGCCCATAGAAGGCAGAGAGTAGTGGTATGCAGGTTTCTTTCTGGTTGGCGGTCTGTGACTGATGGTGTTCCACAGGGATCCGTACTGGGATCTCTGCTTTTTGTGATATGTATAAATGATTTGGATGAGAATAAAGATGAGTGGGTTAGTAAGTTGGCAGACAATACAAAGAGTGGTGGAGTTGTGGATAGTGTGGAACGCTGTCAAATGATACAGTGAGATATAGATAGCTGCAGATATTGGTGGAGAAATGGCAGATGGAGTTTAAACCAGATAAACCAGGTGCTGTACTTTGGAAGGTCAAATGTTAAGGAAAAATATACAGTTAATGGCAGGACCCTGAACAGCATTGTTGTACAGAGGGATCTTGGGGTTCAAGTCCATAGCTCCCTGAAAGTGGCCATGCAAGTGGATAGGGTGGTAAAAAAGGTGTATGGCATGCTTGCCTTCATTGTTCGGGGGATTGAGTAAAGAGTCAGGATGTCATGTTGCAGCTTAAGACTTTGGCTAGGCCACACTTAGAGTATTGTGTTCAATTCTAGTTGCCACATTATAGGAAGGATGTGGAGGCTTTGGAGAGGGTGCAGAAGAGGTTTACCAGTATGCTGATTGGATTAGAGGATATGAGCTGTAAGGAGAGGCTAGGAAATCTTGGCTTGTTTTCTCTGGAGTGGCGGAGGTTGAGGAGAGACTTGATGGAAGTCTATAACATTACGAGATGCATAGATAGGGTTGATAGTCAGACTCTTTTTCCCAGATTTGAAATGTCTAATACTAAGAGGCATACATTTAGATAAGAGGGCAAAAGTTCAAAGGAGATGTGAGAGGCAAATATTTTACACAAAGAGTGGAAGGAATTCAGAATACACTGCCAGAGGCAAATATGACAAACACGTTTAGGGAACTTTTAAATAAGCACATGAAAATGCAAGGAATGGAGAAATATGGACCAAGGGCAAGCAGAAGGGATTAGTTTAATTTGGCATCATGGTCAGCACAACATCATGGGCTAAAGGTTGCGTTCCTGTGCTGTACTGTTCTATGTTCTAAAACAAAATAAAGTTCTGTCTATATTCAGCATTCACTGCAGGTTTCCAGTTTAAACTACTTGACAACTCAAAGTTTAGCAAGTGCTGAATTCTGGCTCCAATGTGAACTGTTCCCTTCCATTGTCAATAATAACTTGCCTTATTTTTAAGGTTCTGAATCAAACATCACGGCTTGAAATCCAGCTGCTGGAGAATTCGCTTTCAACAAACAAACTGGAGAAACAAATCATGGTGCAGACGCAGGAAATTACCAAACTCCATGAAAAGAACAGGTGTGTTTAAATGCAGCTGGAATTGTCACTGAAGCTGCTATAGACTCAAACTGTGAGACAAATTGAAACATCCTGTTGAAATGGACAGAAATAAAAAGCTCCCGAGATTTATTCTTCTGAGCTCAGTCCTATCTATGATTCCAAAATCAAACAGAACTTGTGGGGGTTGTTATGCCTCACTGGGATAGCATGCTGGAAATCAAGCCTCACTAATCCCAGACTCATTGCAAATGATAAAATTTTTATAAAAGTACATAAAAATCCCCAATTTATCTGTCTTGTATATTGACAGATTGGCAGAAAGCGTGGATCAGATTTCTGCACTTGGAAGAATGATTAGTTATTACAAACAAGTAGATTCTATCTACAGGTAAACACGTATAAATCATCGATATATAACTTTATCAGTTAAAAACTCAAAATTCCCTTTACACGTACATGGACAGACGTATAAAGACACAGAAAAATAAACCCTACATTTGATGGATGGAGAGAAAGACTGGGAAGGCAGGTCAATGACCCCTGTCCACAAAGTTCACTGAAATGATCCTTTCTTGCTCATTAGGACTTGCTGCCCATCAACTTTCCTTCTCCAGGTCCTTACAATTGTTTGTAGGAGGCACAGGAAGACTGCTTCACACTAATAAAGGTTTGTTGGTTTAAGAGCCCAGCTTACAGCAACTGATGAATGGAAACAAACTGGCTCCCTTCAGAGCTGAGGTATATTTTTATTGTAGCAAGAAAGATAACTCCTTCTTTGTCAATGGTCTGATGACCACTGCCCAAACATTCACACCTACAAGCTTTTCTGCTACTTGAGAGCCAATTACGTAGTTGTTGGCAGGAATAATTGTCATGACAATGGATCACCATTCCCCAATCAGCTACTTGCTCTCGGCCTGAATCTACATTCACAAATACTACTTGACTCCAGTTCATCTGCAACTAGACTTACCCCAACTTTCTTGAAGAAACAGTAGTGTAAACAGAACAGACAAAGAGTGTCATGTAATTTGCTCTTAAATAGTGCAGCAATCACATCTACAATCCTTGGTTATTAAAACATTCCATTCCCTATTTCAGTCCACTGTGAAAAATATAGAGAAATAAAAAGGTCTTTATACACAGTGAGATATGCAGACAGACTGAGTGACCAATGCACTACATCTTAAAGGTAGTGTCTACTGCACTCCAACCCCCTTCCCCAACATCCTTGAATGCTTTAGCCTGTTGTAACTTTCAAGACTGAGACCAATAATATTTTGTTTGATATAGTATCGAGGATATGAAACAAAGACCCGTAAATAGCGTTGAGGAATAGATCAACCTTGATGTAATTAAATGACAGAATAGGCGTGATGGCTGAATGGCCTGTGCTTGTCCCCATGTTCCTATCCAAATCACAATTTATATATCCTTCCTATACAACACAATGCCAGGCAGAATTTGCTCATGGCTGACTGATTATTTAAGAAACGTTTGCCTTTCTATTAGAGAAAACATTGTTCAGAGCATTTAACTGTCAAGAACAGTGGTTATTGGGCTATTTTACTTCAAGAAATAAATGATGGATTCATCCCACTGTTGTAGACCCTATATACAACTATAACTTTTCCGAGAATTCTTAATTACTGCTTCAAGTGCTTCACTGAGTTGATAATTAATGTGTTTACAGTGTGTACGTCCTGACTCCATGAAATAAATGCATGAGAACTTGGTTGTTTCAGTACTTGCTTCAGCCTTGGTAACATGATTCTAGTGTCTCTTTGAAATAAAGTTTTTGTAATGAACAACTGCTTGTGTTTTTGTTTGCTCCTTGAGACCTTCTTTGTTTAAATTATGTTTGCATGTTCATTTTACAAAGAAGAACACCGATAGGAATATGTTGCGTTGCAGTTGGATAACATCGTTCAGATGGCAGAGATAAACTGTCTTGTTTTCTTTTCTGTGATTTTGGATATACTGACCTCTACTTCCTGGACAACACACTTTTAATTCTGCACAAAACAAGCATAAGCAATGCTGTATCCTTTGTCATTCAGTCAAGTCAAAATTCACCTCAACTTCAATGAAAATTGTCTCCAGTCACAGACTTAACATGGCTTTGAATTCTCATTTGTTCTGGGGTTGAGATGAGTGCTGGTATGCATTGAAAATCACCTCCCAGAAGGGGGCACTGTACCCCAATGTCTCTGTATCAGACGGTGGTTTCCCAAGGGCATGGGTTTGGGCAGACATTGGATGGTTGGAATGGGACAGGAGAGCTGGACACAAATGCTTGCTTCTTGAGCTTACAATTGAGCTCATAACAACAAGCCTAGGAGGAGCAGTTTCATATTTTTAATCAATAGACAAGGGAAACATGCAGTGCCTGGCGTGCGATAGCTTGCAGACGTCATCGGTACAGAAGAGCGCAATGATGTTGAATAGGTGTGTAGATCAGTTTATTTCTGAAGTGGAGAATGCTGCTCAGTTTCTAAACCAGTGGCACAGAGTTGATATCACTGATGTCGAGCAGTTTGTATTTGTGAACATTGATTAGTGGGACTCCTGAGAGTTTCATGAAGGTGGTAGCATCACTTGGAAAGTGATTGCTAAGGGAAATCCTGGTGAATGAATGAATTAATGAGTGATGGCTGAGGGAGATGAAGTGGGAGCAGTTTAATCTGACAATGGACAGAGCAGTACAGAGAGGCTTCAGCAGATATAAGCTCTTGCTCAGGAGGAGAAACATGGAACGAATGAGAGACTGCAAAGAGAAGAAGGTGTCGCTCAAAACCTCTTGCATGTTTTTCCCACCAAGTCAGCAACCTGCAGATGAACAAATGCTGTTGAGACAGCGCCTATCCAGGAAGCTTGTTCTGTACATTTACATTCTGATCTAAAACAGACCAATGCCTCATAATTCCTATGGCAGTGCTTGACCTGCAGTGGTGAAAATCACCCTGAATTATTAATTAGTCTGTCCCAGGGATTATCTGGAGACCTGAACGTCATTGTGCATTCTACAACTCTTCAGGGTATCAAGGACGTAACAAATGCCTTTTCCAGAGAGTGGGGACTACATCCATTTTATGAAGGGTCAGTGCAGGCACAAAGTCCTGTGGCTATTCTCAAAGGGGAGGGGGGAGAGAGAGAGAGAGAGAGATGCATGGGGCCCCAATGCATCTGTTCCCTTCATCCCTCTCTTTGGTACAGGTTTGGAAGATGCTGTTAACATATCTTTGGTGGGTTGCTAAGAAGCAATAAATAGATGGTACACACAGTAACTACCTACTGTCTCTTTGAAAGAAATTAAAAGTGGTGATGAGATTTCAGCCCTTTAGCAGATGCCTTATCAGAACGGACCTCATAGATGAAAGCAGTTGTATAGTCATCGCAAGAATCACCCAAAAGATTTTCTTGCCCATCAGTTGTAAACTGAGTTAGCGTTGAATCCTACACTTCACTGCCTCACATCTTGCCATCTCCCACAGCCTAACGCAATGGCACTCCCACAATTCCTCGTCCTGCCTCCTCCATCCAGGTCAATTCAGATTTGTTGGAGCTGAAGTGTTATACACAAGTGGAGCTTGGGTTGGCAACAAGTAGTTGGTTGGTCTGTAGGCTAGTGACAAAGGCCTTCTGCCTGCCAACAACAATATGATTGGTTCTCAGGTCGCTGAACAACTTGGGTCTGTGAACAAGACACTAAGATGTCTACCGATCTTCACCAGCTCAGGAGTTCTCTCTGCAAGAAAAGCTCCTTTAAGACTGAAGAAAACCAGTTTAGTTTTCCCTCGACCATCGCTGTAAGTCATGGCTTTTAATTAATAAGCCCGCGATATTTACAATTGTGTGAACGAATCTCCCTTTGCCTCTTACAAATGGGTGAAAATATCCAGAGAAGGAAGACCAAAAAGCAGCACAAAAACCATCTCAGCAGATCCTGTGAACAGTGACCACTGAACTGTTTTCTTAGTTTTCTTCATCCAAAGCACCCATTTTTTTGTTCTGTCTGTGTCTGTGTTTAAGTGGCAGTTTATCAGGGGATTAGAGTTTTAATCGGTGGAGTTATATGCTGACAGTTCATAATTGTTTACCTGTAGCTAGCATCTACTTATTTGTAAAAACTAGCAATTTTGCCAAACACAGAAACATGGTCCAAGCTTTTAGCCAACCTGGATCTGAAAACCCAGCAAATTGGGGAATTCTGTATACATTTTAAAATCTATTACTGTTGTGGGAAGTCTGGAAATAGTGCAGCTTGATTTCCAGCCCACTTTCCGAGTGAGGCAAACGATTGACAACAATACAATGCGTCATCAGGACCTGGAAATGACCCGGTTGTCAGATTCCTGACCCTGAATTGATCTATTTCCTTTTCTGTGATAAACATCTCACAGACCTGCCCTAGGACATAACTTGCTTTTATCATTTTTGTATCAATATGTTGAATCCACAATACAGAAAACAAACTAATCTCAAAATTGTATATACCGTGATCAAAGTATAAAGAAAATCTTCTGGTGCTGGGAGTGTGGAGGCTTTTAACCCTTGAGTTTGCAAATCTTCTGTAAGCTAGAATTCTCATACTATCCTGAAATATAGCTATTGCCATGACTGCGAAAAGTGACAAATAAAGTTCTGGAATTTTGAACTCTTTTAGGAATAAAAATGAAATCACTTTTTCATGAATTATCAGTCTAACACCTGCATCCATCCCTTACAGAATGCTGAATATACTAATCTTTATTCAGTGAAGTGTAAGCATGTTGATATTCTCTGTTATATCTTGTCTTTCAGCTTTCTAGAGCAGAAAGTTCTGGAAATGGAAGGTAAACATGAAACTGAGCTTCAATCAATAAAAGCAGAGAAGCTGGAGATGCAGGACCTGTTGGTGAAGCAGAGTACAATTATTGGGGAACTGGAGAAGCAGCTGAATGTAGCCACACAGAACAACAGTGTACTACAGAGCCAGCAGCTTTTATTAATGGAGACAGTTCACAATCTGCTGAATATGGTTTCCCATGGCAACGGTTAGTGATAAGATCATGTTGAAATTTCATGCCTGCTCACTGATATGGCTGTGTCTTCTCGTGCCAAAGAACTGAATCATGGGAGAGCATGTGTTGGTTTTCTCCATAATTTCTGATCCCCTACTCTCATTACCTTTTACTCAAGGGAAATAGAGAATGAGGCCTCCATATGGCTAAGAACCATACTTTGGCCTATCTTCAACATGTCCAAAAGCCATTGACTGAGCTGGATGAAGATTTCAGCTATAGAGAGGGTGAAACAATTCTGTTAGTTCTGACAATTCTAGAAAAGAGCCAGCAAAGTCACAGTGGGACGTGAAGTCCATTTCTGTGCTCTAAAGAGACTGGTTGCATTCCCAGATCTCATGAAGTTTAAAATTATGAACAATGTTCAGTCTCCCCCTTGGATGGTCCACAGACTGGGCTGCTCCTATATCACTATTGTAGGCAACAGAGAACATATTGGATCTTGGAGAAAACAAGGTAACAGCATTGTTTACAGAAACACTTGTGAGAAGTGGCTTGAATAAGTAAGGTTACACATTGTTCTGTGACGTTCATATTTGTCCAGGACTCATGTCTCAGCATTGAAGTCAGAGCTTTTATGATGTTTTTTGACATGTTCAATCAGACACCAACATGAGGAGACACTGAAGTTCTCTCCATAGAATAAGAATTGATTAGTTTACTGAGAGAAACCTCTGCTGAGAGTAACAAAGCAATATTCAAGAACATCTTGCTATTTTTGCATCTTCACTGCCTAACTCTGGCAGGGTATTCTCTGCACTCTGACACATAGCCTTGACAAGAACTCTAGAACTGTTGCATTCATACGGTATTTAGTTATACTTCTCCCTAGTGACTTCAGTCTTTCTCTGAAATAGCTGGGAAAATTGGAAATGTGCTAGTTAGTTTGATTGCTGTAAATAAAACTGATCAATTAGCAAATTTCACAGTGAGAGATCAAGAATTTTTTCTTCTCCATATCAATGATTAACATTAATTACTTCACACAAATGAAAGCAAAATATATTGCAAATGTTGGAACTCTGAAATGTAACCAGAAAATGCTGGAAATATTCAGCAGGTTTGGCAGCATCTGTGGAGAGAGAAACAAGCATTCACTTTATGAGTTGCTTGTGACTCTATTTCAGACGATATTCATTGTGTTTTCAACATCTCGTGGACAGGTGTTGTGAATGGTCAGTGTAGGATGTAAACTCTGGTCAATTTCCGTCCCTAACACAGGATGCGAAGATCAATTCTAGATGCCCTTTCTGAGAGTATTTAACTCAGCAAAGATTATAGATTGAATGGGGTCCTTCTCGGGCATTTGAATGACAACTGTTCTGATGAAATTATTACCTTGTTTATGATTGCCTAATGCAAATTTGTCAAATCACTATATACAGAACCAGAAGGTAACTGAATTGAAGGAGCTAGGTAAATTGTCCACTTCCCGTAATATGTATCAAGAAGATTTGAGTACATGAGTAATGGAGTCTTACTTCAATTTTATAGGAACCTGATTAGATTACACCTGAAATACTGTGTGCAGTTTTGGTCTCCTTATTTCAGGAAAGATGTTATTTTCATAGAGGGAATGCACCAAATGTTCATCAGACTTGTTCCTGGGATAGTGGGATTATCCTATGGGCAAACTGGGCCAGTATTCTCCAGTTTCAAAGATTAAGAGGTGATCTCATTGAAACTTGCAGAATACATAAAGGGATAAACAAGGTAGATGCAGGTAAGATATTTCCCCTAGTTGGGGAATCAATTTAAAATGAGGGGAATGCCACTTAGGTCCAAGATGAGGAGGTTTTGTTTTTACTTAGATGGTTGTTAACCTCTGGAAGCTCAGTCCTCGAGAATGTTTAAGGTAGAGATTGACAGATTTCTGATTACCAGTGGTGTTCAAGGTTATGTGGATGGGATGAGGAAAAAGCATTGAAGTGTATGATCAGCTGCAATCATATTGATGGTGGGACAGGCTTGATGGATTGAATGGCCTTTTCCTGTGTTCCTAAGTAGCTTGATCAGACCTGTTGTTCCTGATCAATTCTTCCAAAGTCAGTACTACTTCAAGTGATGTCCAAATTTCCAATGGACTCTGGGGAGGGCGGAAGTGAATAGTGTCAGGTGAGTCGACACAAGCCACTCTCTCAAATCCTGGAAAACAATATATGCTATATCTAGTAAAAAAGAAATGCCAACAATGAAACTTCATTTGCAAGCAAACTTAGGGTTTATTGGCTTTTGAAACATGAAGAGGTTTAGGGAAGCCGATGGAAGTTGCCTTGAAAATCCATTGGGATCAGGAGCTGAGGGACTATTGGTGGGAACCCTGAGAATTATGTGCCTTCTCCAGCAATGCCCCTGAATATCATGAGGGGGACAATGAACGATTAATGAATTTATAAGAATATAACCTGGCAACTTGTAACTCTTGCCTGAAATGTTGAATATTTGAGAGACATTCAAAGACTATTCCCACCTGCTCATAGTATTGTGCTTACCTTACCACCATTCAGTCTGCTACAAGGCTCTTGAGTTGACTGATGGGGTAACACACAATATCGATCCAATCCATAATACAACTAATATGACTTGTCCTTCATTTTGTGCAAGGGGTCAGCAGACCTATGCATAGAGATAAACAGACTGAAATGGAGCTTGCATATTTTAGACTTATAAACAATGTTCATAAATATGCAAATGAGGACAGTTGAACAATAAATGCAAAAAGCACTGGAGCTGAAAATTTCCCGTCTTCAAAGAGTTTGTAAGGAAAAGAAATGAAAGATGCAAATGTAGTAATTATTTTTTATCCCTCCTGTCTTTTCCCTCCTCTGAAATATGATCAGCAGTGCAAAATTAAACAGAGTGTCAGATACAAACAGCTGTGATCTGCCTCAAGGCAACATATGGGTGATTCCCTACTGGACTCTTGGGCAGTAATTAATATTTAAATCCTGTGTCAAATGTGCCATTTGTGAGCATCATCAATGGTAGCCCCAAGAGGTAATAAGCATACAGGTAACCTGTCAGAATTATTATTTTATTGTTTATTTTAATAAATAAATGTTTGCTCATATGATAAGTTGCTACCCTGTTGGGATGTGAATATCTATTTCCACAAATTTATCTATTCTGTTGTTGAAACAGCTTCCATATGCTGTTTCATCTGGAAAAGCAAAGAAAATGATACTTCTGGGCAATTGGTGCATCTTCTGGCCAGTTCTCACTGACTTGGCCTTGTCACAAACCTACCATGAGGAATAAACTCGGGAGAGTAGAAAGTAATGTTCCTCTCTCGTCTCATGTTATAACTAGTAATAAGCCCTCCTTTCTCCTTAGTAAGAGAAGTATGATAAAATCCCTTTCTTTAAGTTGCAATAAGTGGCATTAACACTGTGAAGTCCTGTAATTTTCTTTTTAAAAATTGGTTCAAATAAATTGAACACCTCTATTGTTCTATATCACAGAAATTCAACAGATTGCCAAAGATCAAGTTACATTTAAAGACTGTGCTGAAGTGTACAAATCAGGATTTACTACAAGTGGAGTCTATACGCTACATATCATCAACACAACAGAAACAGTGAAGGTAAGGTAAAATAAGTCTCTGCCTCCTTTAGAAGAAGCTCTGCTTTTAAAATTGTTTTGCTCTTTTGATTTTACAATATCTTTTTAAATCTTTATTTCCAAATCTTCACTTCAGGCAGCACAATTCATAATCTCAAGATATGACAAGGTGTTTAACAACCAGTGAATTACTTATGAAGTGTGATGTCAGGAAAATTGTACTCAGTCCATAAACCACAATGGAATAGATAACTAGTTTACCTGGCCCCAGAGATTTTGATTATCGGAAAAATATTGACCAGGAAACCAAGAGTTACTTTCTGTTAAAATCATGATTATGGTTCAGAAATATAGATTTGCCTGTAGTGCACTTTGAGATTCCTGAGATGCTGAAAAGCATTACATAAATCCAATATCTTTCTTTCTTTAACTTCTCTACTGAAATTCAAAATAGTGCCAATGTATCTTTTACCTGTAGAAGTGTATTTCCCTAACATCTCATCTGAAAGATGGCAAAGTAGTATTTCACAAGTCCTCATTAAAGTTTTAGTCTGGATTATTCACTGAAACGTCTATAGTGGAACTTGAACTAAAGATCTGTTACTAAAGAAATGAGAGCATTTTTTTTCTGTGCCAATATTGTCATGGAGAGTGTGCCCAATGATACTCAATACTGCTCTATTCAAAAGTTTTAGTTGGGGTACTAGAGTAGTAGATCATAAGTTTATGCCCCTGCTCCCTCACAATAGATCTCATTCCATTCAAAGCATATTGTAGATATGTGGGAGATGATTTGTAATCAGAATGGGAGGTAAATTCAGGGAACGTCAACACATCATTCCAGAATGTCTGACTGAAGGGCATAAGTAATAGATTTTTGCAGTTAAGTTATATTATCTTAGTTCATCAATGCTGGGTGTCCAGCAAGATTATGAAGAAAAACTAAAATAAGTACAAAAATAGGAATGATAACAAAAGAAAAAGAACTTTTTCATTTGTTCTGAGCTGCTGTTAGATCCACAGTTCTGAATCAAGAGTCATTTAAAATATTGTCTTTCAGAGCCCAGTGCAGGACTAACACAATCAATGAGCAGGGAAGTATAGTGCAATCATGTAACCTTGGGGCATCTTTTGAGAGCTTTGCAAATGCTGATTTCATTATCATTTATTGAAAGTATGCAGAAGGTAGCTTCAATATTGTACCAACCACCATTTCCATTAAACCCACAGACTATCAGATTTAGATGCTATTAACAATAATCAATGTGTCTAACTTAAATGATACAGTTTTAGGCTGTATATTATTGTAATGCTGTACTGTAGAATGTTGCAGGCTTAAAAAGACTAATTTCCTAAACAGATCAAGGCATTGCCTTAACGGGAACATATTAAGAGTTAGCCAAAATGTACAAATAAATTTTGTATCACTTTTTTTTTCCTTTTTGCTTTTACCATGGTACACATCAATGCCAGAATTAAGAGATTTTGATTGTCAGAGATGCAACCAGTTGTCAGAACTTCCAGTTATCAAAGGTGTATCAAAATAATCCGATATTTACCATCCACCATTATTTTAATTAAAAATCTTCTGAGCCTACATGAGGAAGTGTCCAAAAGGGTTAATGGTAATAACAAAGAACCTAAGCTAAAACATAACCTAATGTAATGTCAATAGTACACTGCTGCAAACTCTTATTTCATTAAACCATTGCACTCAGTTCTGATATGTATGGCACATCAAGTTACCATTAACAATGTTTCCATTGGCACAAAAGTTGTAGTTTGCAATGTCCATTGTCAAACATTGGATTATGACCAGGAATAGTGATAATGGTAGGAGTACTGGTTCATAAGGGGATGCACTTTGGAGGGTCATTGCAAACTCAATGGGCCAAATGGCCTCTTTTTGCGCAGTAGGGATTCTGTGATTCTATGATCAGCATCAGCAGTGACAATAGAATTCTAAAGTTAAGAGGTTAAATAAGTGAGGACCTTTGCTAGTTGAAAGCCAGAGGAAAAGATGATGAGTTAGATGAATAGAAAGATCGATGTAGAAATTGTTAGACAAGTAATTCATTTACTTTATTCAGGTCAATGAACCTTACACCATCGATGCATATTTGCCTAAATCACACCCATTCTGTTGCCAAGTTAACAGATCAGTGCATCACTAAAATCACTTTAGCCCTTATGACTGATACCAAATGTTATAAAGGGCAATTCATGCTATTTGAAAGAAAAGAAGGTTCCTCATCAAGAGATTCATAATCTAGCATAATTAGAAGTGAGTCCTCTCTCATTTTTCTTATCTATTTTACAACGATGTTTTATGTAGGGTGTTTGTGAATTTAAGCTATTCTTTCTCTTGAAGAGATGTAATGAGTTGCATGCTGTGGGTGTTCTATGTTGGAAGAAAATATTAATAGCTACTTTAGCGAAGGTGGGTTGCTAATTTTCACCAGTTAAAGCATTTTCTGCTAAAATCACTCAAAAGTAGTGACAGTTCAGGTAGCCAATTAAAGGAGTGTTGAAATGCTCCTGAGAACCTAATTGCCCGTTTCATAGGGAACAACTATATGAAGACTAGTTGTTTATGTCAGCATTGTTTTTATTAATGTGAATGGATGTTAGATAGCTCTTAGTCTTTAGATAATCATTCCTTGTGATAATAGCAATTATCTTCTTGAGCTGCTAAAAAAAAGTCTTTAATTGGCTACCTGACCTATCAATGGAACATTTTGTAACTGGAGAAACTTAGCATCAAAATTGATGTAAGAGCAACTTTGAAGCCGGAATGTACATAACCATTGGATTAGGACCAGGAGTACTGATAATGGTAGGAGTAATGATTCATAAGGGAATGCCCCTTGGAAGGTCATTGCAGACTCATTGGCCTGAATGGAGTGTATTTATCTACAATCTGTTGCATGATAATCTCCTAACCTCATTTGACCCATCTCCATATATGTGGATTTGCACTCACCTTCATTGATTTGGGCAGAAGATACATTGTGGCAATGTCAACTGATTAGTAATCCAGAAGGTTAGGCTATCACTGATCACTGTAATAAATCATCTGATTCACTCATATCATTTAGGGAAGGAAATCTGCCATCCTTACATCATCTGGCCTGCAAACAATCCCAGATTCTCAGTAATGCAGTTGACCCTTAACTGGTCTCTCATATGTCACCAAATTCAGGGGTACTTAGTGATAGGCAAAAATGAAAACCTTGTCAGCAATGCCCACATCCCACAAAACACAGAAGAATGACATAAAACTTTAGTTCTCTGGATTGATAATCTAAAAATTAATTTCCATTATGAATGAGGACCTTAAGATGTATCAACCAGTTACAACTCTATCACATCTTTAACTTTTTAAAATATCCAAAAGATTGTGAGAGAAGGGAATTGTGAGAGTTTCAGAGATCAGGCAATAACTTTTGACAGGAAGACACTTGATGTAATGGCACTAAAAGAATTTAAGAAGCAGCAAAACTTGTACTGAATAAAGGATGGAAGGTGATCGCTATCTTAGATTCCTTAGTTCTTCCTTTCCATTGAGTGCAATGACCAAAGATGGCTCAGTGTGACTTCTAAACTTCTTTTTCTCCCTCTGTCATCTTCAAACTTTGTGTAGTGAACTTCTTTTCATTGTCCTTATTTATTCTCTGCAGCTAGGGCTCCCACTGTCTTCTAGTTTCACTGCCAGAATTTAATCTTACTATACCATTTGTAATCAGTCATGGACATGTAAACAGGACATTCTCAAAACAGCTCATCACTAACGTTTTCTTGCATAACCACTTACACTCATGTAATCCTAATACCAAATTCTATACATTTAAAAACATACCTTCAATCCTAACTAGTAACACAGCTTTGGGAATCTGTTTACTTCCCAACTGCGATGAGCACTTCCAATTCATGTTGCAGTTGACTTGATTTGACTCAACTCACAAAGGTCAAATATCCTAAGCATATATTTAGAATTAGCCTTTCATCTACCAGAACTTATACAAATACATATAGAAAGGAATCCATAACTTGTAAAATAGAATAGATAAAAAAAAGTTATAAAATGGCCACATTTCCTTCAAAATCATTAAAAATAAAATTTGACATTTGCCACAGAAGGAGATACTTGGTGATAACAAGCTTAGTCAAAGAGATATATTTTAGGAAGTGTTTTGAAAGAGAAGAGAAAGAGATCAAGTAGGAATTCCAAAGTTAAGGGCCTGGGGTACTGAATGCATAGATGGCAATGATAGAATGAAGAAAATCAGCAAATCATGTGTGGCCAGAATTAAAGGATTGTAGTTGATCCTGGATGCTTGAGGGAATGAAGGAAGCAATGGGAGTAGGGAAGCAGTCAGGCTATGCAGGAATTTGAAGACAAGGAAAAGAAGTTTAAATTCTCAGGATTGCCAAACTAGGAACTAGCATAGGTCAGAAAGAGTTGTGTGAGGTAGGATGTCTGTGAAGCAGAGTTCTAGGTCAGTTCATATTTACTGAAGCAAAGGAAAAATTAGGATGAGATCACCTTCCATTACTCCCGTTACGCAGGGTAGTCTTAGCAGAAATAAGGATACTGGTTTTTCATCTGGAGGTGGTCTGAAGCACAGAGAAACTGAAAATAGACAAAGTACAACTGAACAAATGGCTTTCTTATGAAAAATCTCCATGAACTGACTATACACAACAAAATTGGGAAAGGGGGAGTGGAAGATTACAAAATGAGAGGGAAGTGTTACTGAGAAGCAATTGAACCAAAATTGTTTCTGTTTTTGTACTGAGGAGCTAGGTAATTGAATCAATCTTCTTTTCGAGGCTTCAAGCATAAACCTAATGCTTTGAGGATCAGCTTGAAGTGCTACAATGTTTTTAAGCCGTTTATTAGTTCAGCATTGAGTTTAATACTTGTAAGCTAATACCTCTGCACACCCAATTCTGAAATTAGATTTGCTAAGCTGCTCTGCAATCAGGAGATTTAACCATGGAAACACCTACAGAGCAAAG